TACAGAGAGTGCCTTCAATAATTTCTCCCAGAAGCTGTTATCCGCCCCCTTACTAACCTCGGGCGGGATCATCCTCTGGTAGAATTTGTTTGCCGCCTTTGTAGGTAGCAGAACTATATACTCGGAGATGGGAGATGGGTTATAGGTGTTTCAACCCTGTTTTTGTGAAATATTTTATTTTTATCAGTATCTTTTTTTTCAAGCAATCTATGTGGAAATAAAAGTGAAAAAAAAAATACTTATTTGCTTTGATTGCCAATCAACGTTTAGCTGGTGAGCCAGCAGATTGTGCGCTGCTGGAGCAGTATGATGTATGAGTGCAGGGGTTGTTTTTGTTTAGTCCAGCTACGTCCATGCACACATTTTTGAAGTGAAAACTTCTTTAGTGGCGGGAGTGATTTGAAACTCGATAAAACGAAACACGTGACAACAACAGCAAAAACAATACGTATTTGTATATCCAAACATATGTTATTTGCCGTTAAGTGTGTAGTTATGTATGTATGTCTGCTCATAGAATTCAAGCGGAGTCTCGAAGTCAAATTGAAGTGAGTTTGTGTTTTTTCATCGTATTTCATTCATATTGTCGCTTTGCCGGCTTTGCATAGTAGCAGCCATACGTATGCAAGAATGATAGAATACAAGATTGCGCCGATTGCAGCAGAATTAGTGAGAGTAATTTTGGCGTGACGTCATCGTACAGTTAACAACTGAGAGCGGAGAGAATAAGCTGTTGTCAGTGTTGCCAGTTTAACCGTTTTCCGGCTAGGTTTAGCCGGTCGCGATAGCAAACAGCTGGAGAAAATTCGATTTAGCCGGCAGCCGATTTGTTACCCGTTTTGCAAAAAAAAAGTTACCCGATTTCGCTATTTACAGTATTTTATTAAAATTTAAATATATGTACATATAAGTTTCCATTTTTACAAATTTGGCGAAACTGCTAGCCTTATTTCGGGAAAAAATTTTCATGTCGGACTGTGTTAAGTATAAAAAATTTAAATGAATACTGGGCCCAATGATTTTTATTTTATGTGAAAATACAGTGGCCCAAGTGACTGGGACGCGACATTTTGGCGTATTATTCTTTTATGAAAGTATAGCTGATTACTTACAAACACCATTTAAATCCAAATTTCATATTTTAAGGAAAAATTATGAAAATTCTGCAATTTTTTTTAGTTTAAAATTTTTGTATAGCAAAGTGCAAATTTCGGTATCTAACACTTGCCGTTGATTTTTGGACATTTTTTGTTGACGGTGTTCCGCATTTTTTTCCATATGAAATATTTTAGAACATTGTACTTTGTATGGGGTTGTATGTAGGGTTTATAGTTTCTGACAATTAATTAATCATTCCACCTTTTTTTATTTTTTAATGAAAAAAATTAAAAAAATCAGACTTTAACAGAAGAAAAATTTAAAAAATAACAGGTTCTGTGCCAAATTTTTGCATTTGCTCTAAAGCCTGTTCTGTTACAAACAAACAAAAAATCAAGTTACTGAGGACGAAAATCGATGGATAAATAAGAAATAATGAGTGGTAAAATAAAAATGCGCAAGATTATTTGTATGAAAATTGAGCACGAAGGCCGCGTACACCTAAGTAACACGCTTTTTGCTCATATTGCATACAAAAAATCTGCGCATTTTCATTTGACCACTCATTATGTCGTATTTATCCATCGATTTTCTTCATCAGTAACTTGATTTTTTTTTTTGTAACAGAACAGGCAAAATGCAAAAATTTGGCACAGAACTATTTTTTTGTAAATTTTCTTTTGTTAAAGTTTATTTTTTTTTCTTTTTTTTTTAAAATAAAAAGCTTAATGATTAATTAATTTGTCAGAAACTATAAGCCCTATCGGAAAGTGATGTACATACGGTTTATGGAGAATTTCATTGTCTTTCATTTGCCGTATTTTATATTAAGATTTTTAAATTGGTTCGTAAGATATACGTGATTAAAAGGAACCAATTTTTGCTTTAAGCTGAATAACGGTAATTGCACATATCCCGAAAACGTATCCATAGAAAAAAAATTAACCCGAATTTCGGAATGACCGAGCAATTCTACATAGAAATTGGATAGTGGCGTCTGGAGAACAAAACCCAAATTAAAATTTCTGATCCAGTGTTATTAGAGATAAAATAAAGACAAGTTGATTTTCCTGTGTATTTTTTTTTAATATTTTAAACAGACTTTCAATAAAAAGCAAACACTTTTTTTTGCAAATTTTTGCATCCGTAAGTTATTTTATTCTGGGGTCCCAGATACATATGCAAGTACTAGTTGGCTGTATGAAAATTACGTTAGCATTCCTTAGTGGTGGTCAAACCCTAGGAAGGTTTTGCTCCCTCTCATCGCAATGTTTTCTACACAGGGTTAAAGTTCCCCCTTTTTGGTAAAAATTAGTATTATTTTTCATTACATTCGGTTCTCCTTACAAAAATTTGGCGCTTAATATTTGAGTGGAAATTTTACCATTTATAAGCCATTTTTTTAAACAGTGGGTCCAAAAGTCCCGTTCTGGTTCGAGTTGACGGGTTAAACTTTTGGAAAAAAGTAGACCAACCTTGTTTTCAATATGTAATGCGCAAAAAATCGTAAGAACTGCGTAAACAAAAATTTATTGATAGCGACATATATTACCCCAAAAACTTAACTTTTTAAATTTTTTTATTTCTTTAAATTTAAATAGTACATACGGATCTGTAGAGAGCATAGAGAGCCATGTGTGTATGTATCCATCAGCGCCACACACTCAACATTTTGATTCAAGTAGGAAGTAACGTAATTTAAATTTAAAACTAATTCAATGAATGAATTAAATAGAATTATAATCTGGGCTCGAATTGTAACATCCGTGCACGGATCGAAAACGATACGAAGGAAAATTACGTGATACGGGAGGCAGTATAAGTTGAATGGGACACGTATGTCATAATTCGAAAAAACATTTTTTACGTGACCAGTAGTACGATATCGTATATGACGATTCGAGCCCTGAATTGCCATGGCGAATGCCTAACGCTGACGAATTGACATGATAGTAGCGCTGACGTTTCCAGATTCGCCGCCGACCCGCCGATTCTTTTCGAAGTTGACCACGCCGCCGCCGCAAAGCCGCCGCCGTAAACCTCTATTGGGAAGACAATACCTGTGAATAATTGTAACATGGTGCCAACNGCCGACCCGCCGATTCTTTTCGAAGTTGACCACGCCGCCGCCGCAAAGCCTATCGGCGTAAACCTCTATTGGGAAGACAATACCTGTGAATAATTGTAACATGGTGCCAACATACTTTATTGTTGCTTATTATTGCTCTCAGAAAAGCATGTGAGAGAGTGAGTAGGACATTAAAAACAGGAGTTTCGAATATATGGACATCAAAATTTTGATAGTTAAGATTGTTAAAAACTTAAAAAGCGAGCGGCTTGTTCGATATAAATTAATGGCGTTTTCTTTTCTCGAAATAATGTTGGACTGTTTTCTTCAGCCCTTTCACAGCTTCACGTGTCCATTTCTCAAAACATTGCCCTCCGACTAAGCAAAATACTTTCTACTAATATAACGGTTTTTCAGGACGAAAAGTAACCTAGTGCAAATGTTACAATGTAAGTCAACATTTTTCAATAAAAGAGAAAACGCCATAAGTTTGTAATTTAACTCTTTTTTTATATTTAAGTAATACAAACATGACTTCTGATGTACGTATAACGACAGTTTCTTTTGTTAAACAAAAATAATTTGTAATGAATTTACCAGTCCCTGTTTTAGTGATTTATTTAACGAGTGGTGATATGCTTAGCTATGTATAACATTTATTAACCAAAAAAAATGTAATGATTTTACTAGTCTTTCTACTTGCGATTTCTGTAAGTAAAACATGCGAATTTTAGTTGAAACATTTTAGCCGTTTTTGTTTTTTTGCCAATATAGCCCAAAAAGTTCTGGCAACACTGGTCAAAATGTCCAATATTTGTAAACAGGTTTTAAGTTAGGTTAGGAAAATGTGCAAGTTATCACTAGCACAAGTTTTAACTGCGCACCTCATTATTTAAGACAAATCGACGGAAATATTAAAGTATTTAATAAAACTAACGAAATTCTTTACATCCCTGAAGGAAGTCCAATTGCTCGAAAAATATAGTCGTAGGTATAGTAGTTTTGCAAAACCCAAGGATAGTCCAAAAATTTAAAGCACTAAAAGTGGTTCGAATGTAATGCATAAGGTATGAGTTTTGTTCTAAAATTGGTTACAATGGGCGCGTTTATAAGACGTAGCTGTTTAGCTCAACTGCTACGAAACTGCTGGCAACTGTTGGACCCAACAATTATATCTTAGAAACGGCCTGATGAATGTGCCGCCAAATGAACAGCAGATAATATAAACAAATGATATTGCAATAAATAGAGATAGTTGCGCCGATAGTATTTAGAATTCAACGCTGAGCTGCCGCCGTGTTGAAAAAATCGTTCAATGTTATAATGAATTAAACAGTGTATAATTATATAGCAAACATCTTGAAAATTTTTTTTTTGCAACTGCCACCTAACAAAGCGGCGTTAAATTTACTACAAGCGGCGTAAGTCTTTACGATGAGCTAGCGCAAAAATTTCCCGCTTGAAAAAATGGCGGAAAGTTGCCAACTGTTGAGCTGACCGGAACTACTCAACTGTGCGTTTCGAAGACAAACACTCAACAGTTTAACAACAGCTACGTCTTAGAAACGCGCCCAATGCCACGCAGTAGCGGACAATGGGTGTGGTTAACGATTTACTGATATGTAGGCACTTAGTTAACGAATTTTCATGTGCGGCGTTGGCATGTAGAGAGAGTATCCGCTTAGAAAATCTTAGAACCCCGGTTCGAATCGCAGCTGGCGCAAGTTTTATTTTTGTTTTCCCCAAAATTGGTTACAATATAATGCAGAAGCGGACAATTGGTCCGAGCCTAGGACATTCAATGTTAAGTGTAAATAGAATTTTACTTGTTCTAGGACCAAACTTTGGACTACTTACAATCACTTGCAGTCTAGTTTGTGGTGTGCTCTAAGTCTGTTCCGAGATCCTACAGGGTTGCTGATTGTACACACACAAAGATGTTTCCCAAGAATAGTAAGCAAATAAAACTGCTGTATAGTGATGTGCTGAATTTTCGGTACCCAATACTCGGCAAGCAATACTTAAAAAAGATACTTCCTTTTCGGTACCCGATACCGATTCTTTACATTAAACCTTCGCCATTATATGCATTTCAAGTCTAGAAAAAACTTTCGTTAGTAATTTATATGATATCGGCTAAAACACTTGAACTTATCACCAGTTAGCGACAAGTTTCGGATCAATATCGCACTTGTTGACGTACAAATATTTCATATCATACGTCAACAAAACCGATACCGATTCGAAAATTGTTGCTAACTGGTTACAGAATCTGCCCCCAGGCCTACAAAAATGATATCGTTCGATTCAGCTGGAACAAAAATGCTTCAAACAAGTAAGAGTTTCGCTGCATTATGGCCTCGAACCGACATATATTTCGGTACCGAGTATCGAGAGTTTCGGATACTTTTTAAATCGGTACCGAATATCGATCAATACTTAAAAGTACTGACTCAGCACATCACTACTGCTGTTATCTCGACTGTGACGTCAGCAAAACAGCTGATTCTGTCAAATTCACTGAATGCCGATTAGCGGTGTTGCCATCGGCGCCACCTTCTGTATTCTCTCCACCGTGATACGTATGTACCTACATACATATGTACTAGGCTGGGTCGATTTTGTATGGGAGAAAATAAAAGGCATTTGTAATATTATGATGTCTAAGGTCTAAGTCGATGTGGTCTCCTTGGCGTGGGGATGAGGCTTAAGTGGTGACATTGGGGCCTTGAGGGACTTCTATGTCAGCATGAACTAAGAGGGAGGCTCCGCATGAGAACCTGCGTAAGACACGAGCTTACACAGTTTCCTATGTGGAGATTACCGTACCGACGATTACTCCTGCCCTCATCCCTCCTTATTTCTCCTTTCCCAACAACCCAACTCCTCCCCCTAATCCAGGGTGTTATGCGACACCGTGCCCATTGGATGGTTTGCAGCCAGGGGGTTTACCAGACCGGCTGTATTATAACGGCGCCTTCCTGATACCAGGCCGCCTCAGGGAGTAACGGTGGCCTTGCCGCGGCATGGGGCGCTGCCGTGGTGGACCGTTAATTTCCTCTTACTTTTCTTAGACCACCGCGCCCGCCTCGTCGGTCAGGTGGTCGTACGAACAAGATGAATACAAACCAAAAGAANTATAATGCAGAAGCGGACAATTGGTCCGAGCCTAGGACATTCAATGTTAAGTGTAAATAGAATTTTACTTGTTCTAGGACCAAACTTTNCCCCGGTTGGGGATTCTGAGGAGGCGAAGGCATCTCCGGCTAAGGCCACGAGTGGGGCCTGCACGGCCAGCGCCGTAGGGAAACCGGAGCTGGCTATCGACAAAGCTTCGAGCAGCGGTGGGTCGAAGTCGACACCCATAGCTGCCTCTGTCCCGGGTGGGATTTCTGGCCCAGCAGAGGCGAAATCGCCCTGCGTTAAGGGCTTAAGCAGGGCCTTCACGGCCGGTGCCCCAGGGGGGTCGAAGACAACTCCTTCTGGTACTAAAGGCCCCGAAATTCTGCCGGTAGTGGGTAATGCCTGTGCGAAATCGCACGGAGCATCTGGGGGTACGGTGCGTGGCGGAATCGCCAGCACCAGAAAGGGTCTCTCGCCGCGTGTCTTTGGAGCTTCGAGGACCTCGGATCGGGCACCTCAGGGAAGGCCTAAATGGCGCGCCACCGCGGCGAGAAAGGATATCTCGGACCGTCGCATGGCCGCCAAAATTTTGGAACGCTACGGCGATCAGTGTGCTGGTCAAATGAGTGATCAGCATGCCCGAACGCTCGAGTGGGCCAAAAAGGTGGTCGGCGATGCGGAGGCTGCGACATCCGCCCAGNCAGCTCGGATACAAACTTGCGAGGTGAGTCACTTTTTGAGTTTATTCTAAGTGAAAACTTACATATCTGTAACAGGGGGAATTCCCCTACGTTTAGAACTGCTGCCAGGGAGGAGGTTCTTGACCTCACACTGGCTTCATCTGAGACTGCACATCTGATCTCGGATTGGAGGGTTCTGAGCGAGCACTCTTTTTCGATCATAGGTATATTCAATTCTCTTTGGACGAAACGCGTCCACGTAGCAAGCCCTTCAGGAACCTGAGGAGCACGAACTGGGATCTGTATAACAGGAACNTTTTCGGATCATAGGTATATTCAATTCTCTTTGGACGAAACGCGTCCACGTAGCAAGCCCTTCAGGAACCTGAGGAGCACGAACTGGGATCTGTATAACAGGAATCTTCGCGGAGTGCTCCCTGATGCGCCAGAACCAAATTCTGTGCAGTCGGTAGACTCGCTGGAGGAGCTTGTTGAAGTTTTCAAATCTGCGTGCAGGGAAGCTCTTGAAAGCGCATGTCCACTACAATTTCAGAAAGGTAGAGGGAAACCCCTTTGGTGGACTGTGGAGCTCTCTGAGTTAAGAGCGTCGAGCAGAGGACTTTTCAATAGGGCCCGTAGGAGTAAGTTGTTTTCTGATTGGGAACTCTATAAGGTTGGACTAGGAATCTACAAGTCCGAAATAAGAAAGGCTAAAAAGATTTCATGGAGGTGTTTCTGCGAAAACGTTGAAGGGTGTCATGAGTCTTCGAGATTTAGGCGTAATCTTGCTAGGAGTCCTGCTCCGCTGGGCTACTTGAGGGATGAGGCAGGTCACTGGACTATGAGTGGCGAGGAGTCGCTTAGGCTGCTCCCGGACACTCACTTTCCTTCCGATCCCTTCCCTGGGGAGATCTCCCTAGGGGAAGTGTGCGGAGACTGTGCTGCTGTTTCTGACCTCCTGGATGAGCGCCGCCTGGCGTGGGCGATCAATTCGTTCGAACCCTTTAAATCCCCAGGACCTGATGGCATCATACCTGCGCAGCTGCAAAAGGCGGCGGAGGTGTCGCGCCGTTGGTTGGCCCCAATCTACGCGAGCTGCGTTAGATACGGGTACATTCCCAGGGGCTGGAAGGTAGTCAAGGTGGTGTTCATCCCGATGGCTGGAAGCAGCTCTCATGTTGCCCCCAAGGACTTTAGGCCAATCAGTCTTTCATCGTTTCTGCTGAAGACGTTAGAGAGGCTGGTTGATATGCACATAAGGAGCATGATTCCTCGGGATCGCCTGTCTAGAGCTCAGCATGCCTACTGTAAAGGACGGTCGGTCGATACTGCTCTGCATACAATTGTGAGGTGTATAGAGGAAGCCTTCACTCACAAGGACTTTGCCGTAGGAGCCTTCCTCGATATCGAGGGGGCTTTCAATAATGTCCTGCCGGACGCAATAGCTAAGTCGCTAGATAAGCTTGGGGTTGAGGCCAGTCTCATTAGGCTCATCGAAAGCTTGCTGCGTGACAGAACTGTCATGGCCTTCTGGGGTAGCGCCTGCTTGTCTCGCATGGTGAGCAGGGGCACCCCGCAGGAAGGGGTGCCCTCACCCCTTCTCTGGGTCGTCGTGGTGAATGAGCTACTAGTGGAGCTGCAGGGACACGGCTGTCGGGTAATTGCCTATGCAGACGATGTGGCGCTCCTAGTTAAAGGTAAATACCTGAACACTCTGTATGAACTGACCCAACGGTACATTAACATAGTTATTAACTGGGCGGCCAAAAGTGGTCTTGGCGTAAACCCCAGTAAGACAGATCTGGTCTTATTCACAAAAAAATATAAAATCCCCGCCGCTGCTCTTCCCTCGGTTGGAGGTCTGCGCTTACAGCTGTCTGACAGGGTCAAGTACTTGGGCTTGATCCTGGACAGGAAGTTGTCGTGGGTACCAAACATCGAGGAAAGGGCAAGGAAGGCATCAGTGGCCTTATATTGCAGTAGGGGAGCTATTGGTAAGAGATGGGGCATCTCCCCTAAAGTTGTCTATTGGCTATACGAGACCGTAGTCAAGCCAATTATGTTCTATGGGGACCTACTCTGGTGGAACTCACTGGAAAAGGCTACACTAGCTAGGCAGCTGGAGCGCGTACAACGGGCTGCTTTAATTGGTATTAGTGGGGCACTGCGAACCGCCCCCACATTAGCACTGAACGCAATGCTAAACGTAGCGCCTGTCGACGTTGCAGGCAGAGTTGTCGTGGTGCGAGTGGCTATTAGACTCAGGGAAACCGATTGGTTGATCAACTTAGGGACTGGACACTCTGGAGTTCTAGGAGGTTTCGACTTCATCCCCGATCGTACGCATTACTGCACCACCGTTACGGCTCCTAGGAGTTTCTTCTCTGTCCATTTTCCCTCAAGGGATGAGTGGGCCGGGCGGGACTTCTGGAGGAGGGGTGCGGTGAACTTCTTTACGGATGGATCGAAACTGGATGGCAGGGTTGGTGGAGGGGTCTTCTGTCGAGAGCTTTCCATCAGCACTAAGTTCCGGCTCCCGAACTTCTGCAGTGTATTCCAGGCGGAAGTAGCTGCTATCAAGGAGGCGGTGGATTCACTGCTAAGGAGCGTTATAACCACCAGGGAAGTGAGCGTATATTCTGATAGCCAGGCGGCCATCACGGCTTTGAGTTCGTTAGAGGTGCGCTCTAACCTGGTTAAAGAATGTCTTCTCTCTCTCTCAGCCGCGTCGGAATACGTCCGGGACACAGCGATATTGGGGGGAACTGCGTGGCTGACGAGCTGGCGAGGGAAGGAACCCGTGAAACGTTACTACCGAATAAAGAGCGGCTGCGGGTGCCATTGATCGCTTGCGGTTCGCTCTTGGATAAATGGGCCTCATGTCAGCTCAGCGAACGCTGGGCGAATACCATGACATGTGCGATCGCAAGGTCCTTTTGGCCGAGGGTGGACCGGGGGCGATCGAGGGCACTCCTCACACTCACAAAGCCACAGCTATCACTTCTGGTGGAGGTTTTAACGGGTCACTGTCCTATCGGCATCCTCGCGGTTAAGCTGAACATTCTGCCGGACCCTTTATGTCGCTGTTGTCTGGAAGATGACGAGGTAGA